AGTTGAGAGAAATTTTTAATCGGACTGTGAAATTCGAAAAAAACGTTTACTTTTACATCACTTTTCAACCTCCTGTGAAAATCACTAAAAAAGGAAATTTCGAAAATACTGTGGTTAGTTGTGTAGAATATACCCTTAAGAATGTGTTGCATATCGCCGAACTTCCCTCCTATGGTCGCACAGTTGAAGTAAACTGATCGACGAGTAGCGCGTCAAAACACATCAAAAAAATCGCTGAGAAATAGGTAACTTCGTGGTCTCTTCGCGGGAAATTGAGCCACTCGAAAAATGGCACATACATGGCTACTGGGGTAAAAAACAGTGTATATTTCGAATATCACATTGGTTTTCCAAAAAAAAAAAAATTTAAAATTGAGGTTTTGGCCAAGTTTTTCGGTCAAATACCACAGTGTGCGGCGTACGTCCGCAATCACAAATCTCGTTGGCGGAGTCTGAAAATCTCCGCCTATACGTTATTTTTTTAAAGGAGAACAAATTGACATCATACCTTGAAGTTTATGCAGAATTTCCTTCGCACAGAGAAAAATAATCACGGCAGTTTTAAAGAATTGCCGTTGAGTAGTTTTCTGTTTAAAAAATAAAGTATGACATGGAAGTCTGCGACGTCCGCAAACCGAGTTATGTGATTGCCGACTTACACCGTCGATATATTTACATGGATCACAAGGTTTACGTAGAAATCAAGATACGCTCTAACGTCAGCGGAGCGACGATAAGGGCGTAACTCTATTCTAGCACAAGTCTTTATGTCCACACAACTCCTTGCTTCCTAAGGCTAACGTCTTTTATTGTCAGAGGAGCGACGAGCCATGTGCAGATTTTTATAGGTCATGCTTCCTTGTGATAATGAGACAGGAAATTGGTTAAAGCAAAATTGCAATACAAATTAAGACAGCCCTTATGATTTTGACGCCATGCTTGGCGTAACGCCTCGAATTGATAGTCGTATTCACCGAGTGAAATGTTATTTTAATCAATTCAATGAACAGAACATAATGAAACACTTTTTATACCTCCCGCTTTAGCTTCTTGAACTCTCAAACTTTGCATAGTTTCAGGAGCTTAAAAGTTTACTGGAAACCTGACGACAAGTTGGGCTGGATCCTCAATGTCCCCCTTGCCAGGTAAATACCGGGCACCGGGGATCAAGATCCCTTCCCCCTGGCCTCCAACGTCACTTATGGACAACTACCAACGTTCCAACCATGATGTCTCTATTCTACCCTTCTACCTCTTGTCTATTTATTAAGAACCCCGCACTGGAAAAAAAAACACATTCGATCAAGAGTCCAGACTCTTGAAAACATTGACAAGAAAAAGGACTCTTGATTCAAGCAGATTTGAGCTTACATCAAGCTTAAATTCGAAAATCAAATTCCGGAAAATCCGCAGAGAGAAAAAGGAGGAAAATCCGCTCAAATTAAGAGACTTGGCTCTTGATTCAAGCTTAAATCTGATTGAATCAAGAGTATTTATTCTTGTCGATGTTTTTAAGAGTCTGGACTCTAGATCCAATGTGTTTTTTTTTCCAGTGCGCTGGTTAATCTGACTATGGTTACCTTCTCGGGGGCTCCTGCGTGGTGGGCCGCTCCGTGGAGATGGTCGTGAGGATCTGCGGTCGTCGGAACGGGAACTTCCTCTTGGCCTCGCCGCTGGTCTCCTCGGAGGCGGGCGGCTTCTCCGCGTCGAGGATCGGCACCGTGTTGGCCAGCTCGTTGGGCGGCGGCCGCTCCGTCGAATTGTCGCTCGGCTTCGTCGTCGTCGTAGGTCTCCCACGCACGGACGTGATCTGGCTGATGATGTTGCCCGGCACGAAGTCCTTCGGGTGGAGCTCCTCGTCGGCGGGGGCGTCGTCCACCAGCTGGGCGGTGTTGCTGTAGACGACGTGCGTCTGCGGCTTCAGCTCGTTCGCCGCCGGCGCCGGCGCCTTCGTCCGGTTCTGGGCGCCGCGCTGCCCCGGAGGCGCCTCCCGCACGGCCACGCTGTTCTGGTGGAACTTGGACTGCCCCCGCTTGTTGCCGTGCGCTTCGGTCTCGTTGGCCACCGCGTTCTGCTCCGTCTCCAGCGGCGGGTAGCGCCCGGCGGTCTTGAGGGAGTTGAGCTTCTCGCTGCTCCCGGTCGGCGGGGGGAACTTGAGCTTCTTGCGGGAGTCGGCGAAAGCGTCGAAGGCGGGCGGCGTCGTTGGCGGCCGGGGTCGGGGCGCCTCTTTCGTGGGCTTGGGCCTCAGGTCGTCGAAGGGGCTGAAGGGCGGCTGCGAGTCGAAGAAGTCCTTGTTCGGGTTGTAGAGCGGCCCGGGGGAGTAGGACTTATAGCCGTCGACCGAGGACGGGAACTTGGGTTTGGGGAACTTCTCCGTGGTGGGCGCCGGCGGGCGGTTGAAGGGGGCGAGCCATTGGGGTTGCGGCGGCGGGTGGTTGGGGACGTTGGGGTAGCGGACGGGAGGGAACTTGGGCGACGGGGGCCTCGGCGCGTCCCGGTTGGCCGTGATCGGCTGCCACGGGCTGTTGTCCACCGGGATGTTGTCGAAGAAGTCGTTGTTCGCACTCCGGCAGTCCCCCAGTCTCCCCAACCAGAACGAGAAGGCCAACAGCAGAGCTCCTGAAACACACCAAAAAACCGTCGAAATTAGATTGTTATCACGAAATAATTGGTCTCAGAAGATAAACTGGACTACAATTTGCAATTAGGAACTATACATTTTCGCCCGGTTCAAAAACAACGTATGTGCCATTAGTTTCCCTATGCACATAAGTGTTTTTTCAGATGAGCCAGAACTTATAGGTCCAAATTGCAAAATGCAGTCCAACTGGATCTCGGTTAATCCGAGACATTGTTTCAAGTTTGTCGGAGATTCCATATTTTCGCTCATGTTTCACATTCTTGAGATAGGACCGACTGGCGTTTTTGTGCAAATTATATTAAGAAATATTCTTCATTATGTCAGAGGAAATCGTACCAAGAGACTATTTTTCTATTCTTACAACCATTACGTATCGTTGAACGCTGTAAACTCCAACGAAAAAGACAGTGTTAGGGCCGTATGGAAAGGGATTCATTTTGGACGAGGCATACGTTTTTAGGGGTGTCATTTCAGCCGAACATTTAAAAGCGGCTTTACCGGTGAAGGATTAGTCCCCCTTTTTCGTATTAGACTTGTACTTTTGAGGGGAGGCAATTTGGATGAATTGGGTATTGTAAGTTTTAAAAAATAATCCGAAATTTGTCGGAGTTTTACCTACTTCTTCCCCAGGCGAATTTATCAGCCTCCCCTCCTGAAATCCGACTGAAATGAACGAATTTCAAGTGTTGAACAACTAGATAGGATTAAACATACATACATACATAAAAAGCCACTTTTATAGCGCGCTCTGGCGCTCCGCGACACCTAGCTGCCAAAGTTCCCTATCCTCCCAAAGCCCCTCAGGGAGTTGGCACACCCTCATTTCTTCTAAAACCCCCTGTCGCCACCATTTTACTGGGCGTCCTCTTCGTCTCCACCCGGGAGGAACCCAATCAAGCATCTTCTTCGCCAGCCTTTCGTCCGTCATTCTATTGACATGGCCACACCAGACAAGCTGGATTAAACATCCTCTTTTAAAATACTTCGGTCTAGACAATACAAGAATCAGATACAGCACCATCGCGACAGGACACCTGCCTAGCGACGAACGAGACGATGATTTTTTTCTCAACGATGGAGGGGAGGGGGGGTAGGCGAGACGACGAGGTGTAGGGCGCGGGGCGGGCGGAAAATCGGGTGCCGGAGCAGTGGGTGGCTACCGGGCGCTGGCGGAAAAAGTGAAAGCAAAAGCGGCCGGTTTTCGTTCGGATTCTGATTCGGTCAATCATGGAGAGATCTAGCGCCGCGGATCGCGGATCCCACAGCCAGCCGCGGCCGGCGACATTCCTCGGACTCCGAAAGAAATTCGCCTCGAAATTCGAAGAACCGCGTCACACTTTTTCATCTCCGCCTCCGTATCCTTATTTGACGTCCCACTCGATCTCATCTCGAGTATGCACCGCCATTCAGATTTCAACTGCAGGTTGATGGAATATTAATTTCGCTTTTCATTCCGGCTAAAACGAGTGAATGACAGAAAGATAAACATTTGGACGCATTCGTGCAGAAGACATCTAAAAACTTCGTCAGTATGTGACTGTCCATGAGAAAATAGCAGGATGTCTAGTAAAATAAACTGGCCAAAAATCGATACTTTTACAGTGCTTTATCAGTATATTCCCAAAAAATTCAGTACTTTTTTAGTACCTCCATTTGACGAAATTCGAAAAATTTCGAAACTTTGAAATTCTCGCTCGAATCGCGACAAAAATGACATAACAGCAAAATTTCATGGATGACTAGAAGATTAACTGACTGCACAATCGCGATCATGCAGGCAAATACTACTCCGAGAATCAACGCGCAGGGGATTGAAAACTTTCTAGGCTTCATTAAAACACACGCATGGTATGAAGGAGAAAAGACGATCTTTGGATCGATTCAAATGGAGGTAGGTAGTCGCAGAGCATTCTAGTGCGCTTAAGTTACGGCTTGGTGTGTATGAAGATTAAGGAATTGGATATTGAGAGTTCCACTGGAAATTCACACCAGAATCCTAGAGAATAAGTTACAGAATCAGTCTGGAGGGCCAGGATTGCTCGGTGTTTGAGCGTGTTACGAGGGCGAAAAATGTGGTTTTCTACGATGGTGCCCGTATCCACTACCCAGTGGCCACGCCCGAGGTATGGTTGGAATATGGCTGCATCACATCGGTTCACTTGGCAGCTCATAACCCCGGCGTAATGGCCGCGCCCGCGCATGCACGGACGGTTCCAGCGCCGTAACCGAATTAACGGCTCGTCACTTTTCCACGGCTACACCTCACTTCAAGCTCTTATTTTTTCCGCGGTTCCAAGAGCTCTTGGATTTCTAAGACACGCTGCATTGCTGGGCAGTGACCTGCACCCGTCGAAGAATCTGGACATGAGCGCTGCCGTGCTAAGGGAGAACGCCGTATGAGCCTTCAGACGTTGCTAAATTTCCTTTGTACAATGACAAATTTCCGGAAAAGTTACAGAGTGTTTTCCCTCAATTTTTTCTGGGAATTTTCCTCGTCATTTCATCTGAGGTGACTGAGAATTTCAAGGGAAAATAAAGTTAACAATCCTCAAAAATTAATTTTTATTTTTATTAAAATTTACCCCAGGTATTGATTTCCAAAGCTACTTAGGTGTTTTACGCCGGCTATAGGTACGGAATATTTGCTACTTATAATTCCCGCTTAAACACAGTTCAGAGACACGGTCACATCTATAAAAATGTCAAAAAAATTCTAACCGCTCAAGTCCACCGTTGAAGCCATTTCAATTTGAATCTTCTACTGAGTACGGCTTTTTGTATTGAGTAACCACAAACCTAGCCTCCATGAGAATAAACTGAACCCCAATTCTTCCGCTGAACAGATGGGATATTTTTCAAAAGACCCCATGTAGATATGAGAACGATTCGGTTAAGCTATCCAAGTCGACTGCTGTACTGCCATGCTAAGGAAAAACGCCGTATGAGCCTTCAGGCGTTGCCAAATTTTCCCTGGCAAGGTACTTATTTTCAGGAAAATTTTTAAATACTTATCTACTAATTTTTCAGATAAATTTGTTCATAATTTGATCTAGAACTTCTGAAAATCTCAAAGAAAGATATTCATAATTTTCCTCAAAAATAAGCATTTTATCGGAGGAAATTTGGCAACTCTCGAATGTCCATACGACGTTCTTCCTTAGCACGGCAGTATAGTCAAACCGATCGACTTGGCACGGCGGTGGTTGGAGCGGTCGGTTTTTTTTCGGATTTTATGGAACAGAAAACCTGGTGAGAAACCATTTACGACACAAGCGATAGCAGTGACGTTGGCGCTCGATTTTGCCGGTCATTTAACAAATAAGTTTAAGAAAACTGGAATTGTGCAAGAGAGACTCAGCCGTAGATAGGAGAACCGTCACCGTGACACCTGTGATTCAACGGTAGTGAATGCAGAAAACAGATAAAGTTAGCAAAGTTACGGCGTAAATCTTGAGTGAGTTTAAGTAAACCTCTTGTAAGTTTCTCTGAGTACATTTAGAAATATGTACATGCCCGATGAAGAGCCCAATTTTTGGCGATAGCTGATGTGGCTTGGTTCCTTTTTGCTTGACGCGGTCAATTCAAACAGACGTTTTCCCCTTCTTGAATGGGTGCACCATCCAACACACTCGTGAGAGTGTGATGTGAAAACAGTGACTACCCCAGTTACACGGAAAAAATTAAATAGCAGATTTAACAATTCAATTGCTAAAAAAAGTGACTGTAATATTTCAACGTGGATTTCACAACACAAAAATGCTACTTTAACCACTATTGTAAGCTAATTTAACCAAGGGGCTGGTTAAAGTAGCATTTTTTTGTTGTGAAATCCACGTTGAAATATTACAGTCACTTTTTTTAGCAATTGAATTGTTAAATCAGCAATTTAATTTTTTTCGTGTAGGTTTGGTTCGGGTGGGCAACTAAACTAACTCCCAAGCAAAGAGTATCGCCGTGATTTGAAGGCGTTCCGAGCCGAGGTTGTGCGTTGAAATTCTTTACCAATGATACCTTCACAATTTCTGTGCAAATTATTGCAATTTCACGAGTTGGGACGCATGCCGCTTACACGGTGATGGCAATTGCTAAATGCCCCCGACGTATGCGACAAAAGCTCGATTTTGTGAACCAAATTACTGTGCCCCATTACATATCGGCCGAACTATTCAATTTTGTTGTTTATTTTATTTATTTTTTTGGAACATCTTCAATGTAAGCTGGACGAATGGCGAAAAGTGACAAAACGTCGGTCGACTGCGGCCCGTGAATCGTTGACGATTAATTGATAAGTCTCGGCAGTTGACACTTTTGCGGTTTCCGATTGGCCAAGTCGTGACAGGAGACCAGACTCCCCCTGTCCTCTTCCGTCTCCGAGCCGAGCATTACTTTGCATCCGGGTAACAACCCTGACCTGGAAGTGCACCCGATCCACGACTCAGCTGGTCTCTGAGAACTAAGAATTTCAAACACCCACCCAATCGTTTTCGTTTCCACCTTTACACAAATCGTCATTGATCAGTCACAAATTAAAATCACGATGAAAATACTGCCGTGCTAAAGAAAAACGCCGTGAGAAAGATCAACAATTGCCAATTTTTTCCGGGTAAAATCTGTACTTTTGAGGAAAAATGTGCTTAAATTTCGTTGAAATTTTTAGATAATTAAGATTGAATTGCCAAATTTCTCCGGGTAAAAAGTGTGCTTTTGAGGAAAAGTATGCTTAGATTTCGTTGAAATTTTCAGATAATTAAGATTGAATTGTGGATTAAATTGTCTGAAAAATTTGAAGAAAAACGTTAACAATCTTCCCGGTAAAATAGTTTTTTATTGAAGGAAGTATGGCACCGTCTGAGGGCTCATACGGCGTTCTTCCGTAGCACGGCAGTATAGTGAGTAATTTTTGAGGTGGTTCTTCAGAAATTTTCGTAGTTCCTCGCACGAACGTTGCAACGATTTTTCTGCGGTAATTACATTTTTGCTAGGAGATTTCGAGAATTTCTAACTGAAAATTTCACAAGGTAATTTTTCCGCTGATGTCATGCGAAAATCGGCCGAATTTAAACGAAAATTATAAAGAGTTTTCTCGTAAATAATTGAATTGATTGAGTCAATTTTTCAACCTTGGAATGGAGTTACGTCCCTTCGTGCGGGAAACGAGTTTTGAAAACGACGATGTGATACTAAAAGTTGCAAGTAATAATAATAACTTTAAATATTAAGTTCTTTTGCGAACCCGACCCTAACATTTGGGAACAATTCGGTGGTTGATCAGCCAATACCATCTACGTAGGTAGAATCTACGTTGTAAAAAGAGGAACGTAATGAGTCTTACCATTGATGTGCGGCGTTATGCTGGCCCTCATCTGGGCGGCGGGAGTGGCTGTGAATGCAAATCGTGTCGTTTGTCCCGTCGCTTAGACGGATGCATTTCTCCTATACGTCTTTCCAGCTTCTGCAACACACCAAAACCGCAAAAACAATTAACACACATTTTAACAAAGTGGGCAGGGGAGTGTGAAAGGGGGACGGGTTATCACACTTCCTCGGTGTCCGTGAACAATGCCAACATCTTGCGGTTTCTTTATTACCGCACTTAACTCACCGCAATTCCAGAAGCTCTGTCTGATCCTCCTTCAGCGATTGCCCAATACACTGTGCATGCGCATCCCCGAGTCGATCGACAAAGGTCGATTACATCGAGTACATTACATGGGAACGAGAATTGAGAGCTTGAAATGGGCTGCATTTCGTAATTGGACACATTTATGCTAAAAGGAACTATGTGCATGGGGTTTGCGCGAGACAGAGTTCCTTTTGGCCTAAATACTTTCAATTAGGAACTACTTTTTCCAATTCATCCATAAAAGTACCTATATCTCCATAGTGAAAGTAACGGCACTTATGCTGTTCAACGATTGCCCAGTACACTGTGCAAGCGCATCCCCGAGTCAATCGACAAAGGACGACTACATCGAGTACATTACATCGGAACGAGAATTGAGAGCTTGAAATGGACTACATTTCGTAATTGGACACATTTATGCTAAAAGGAACTATGCGCATAGAGTTTGCGCGAGACAGAGTTTCTTTTGGCCTAAATACTTTCAATTAGGAACTACTTTTTCCAATTCATCCATAAAAGTACCTATCTGCATAGTGAAAGTAACGGCACTTATGTTTTTCAAAACACTAACCAGAAATAGTGATTCCTCATTGCGAAACGCAGTCCATTTCAAGCTCTCAATTCTCGTTCCGCATTGAAAAAAAACTGAGAAATTGCAGGTGTCGAAAATTTGATTCGATTCTCGTAAGACGGTCTGCTTCGATTAATGTCGATTGTTGAGTATCAATTTTACTAGTAGGTATTGTATAACTTGCAAAAATTACCATTGTCTGACGAGGTCTCTATTTCTTTATATCACAGATCTGCAATTTTTTTTCAAGTTCGTCAGAAAATGATCTAAGTTTCCTCTTTAATTCAACAATTTTCTAGTAAATCGAAATTTCCAGGAACGCGTGTTTTTAACATAAGAGAATTTTTTGGAGAAATTGTTTATAGAACATTTGTGGGTGATAGAAAAAACTATGGACTTTTAGGGTTTTTGTGTACCCACGAGTAAGTAGAGGAATCCCTATGAGACACCTTATTAGAAAAAAATTCTCGTCCTTTCAGACACATAACGTATTACGCGCGAATTTACTGGAAGAACCTCATCATTAGACCTACCGGAGAAAATTGTATCATCATGAGCTATAAGTAAAGATTATCCCATGTAATTTTGGCTGCTAAATCCGAAAATTACCTTTTTTTTTCTCTGGCACACGCCAGTTTCCAGGAAAACAAAACAAAATAATTCTCGCTTTTCTGAACAATTTTTACCTACCACTTACGGTTTCAACTGCGGTCATTTCTTAGACTCAGCGCAAAATATTAAAAAGGAAACACTTAAAGAACCCTCGGCGTTTTTCTAAGACATAAACTTGTGCGATTATTCTTTTTTGGGCCTATTTTCAGAGTGTCTGCCGACTTGCCGAGAATATCTTCCATAATTTTTTCAGATTTCCCCTATGGCAAAATGATCTAAGTTCCCCGACTTTTCACATTAAAAATTTGCACGCATTAAACTGAAACTGAGACTGCAACATGTTTCCCTTCCTTCTCTCGCAAATGATAGAAATATAAGAAGCTTTTTCATCAGACTCATTGTCAATTTAATTGTAGGTAAGTACGAAGTTGAACATTTTTTTTAGTTTTCAAGTTTCATTATTGTTTTCAAATTTCCAGCTATTGCAAACATTCCCCTGACTTTACTCTATTCTACCTAGTTCCTCTGACCTGATATTTCCCGACACTCTCGGTTTTCCAGATTTACCATCACCCTGATTTATCTTATTTTTTATCTAAATGAAAATCTGGCAACCCTAACGGGTACTCGAAGCTGACAGCGTCGATTCAAAGCACTTCTCGAGTGAAAACCAAGCGCGTGGTTGTGGCTTGTGGCTCTTCCGAGACGCAGCTTTCGAGCCATGCGGCCATGGCGGGACCATTTTTCTTTTGATTTCAAAAGTAGAGCGGAGTGAGGCGAACCGAAATAGGCTGGGCTACGATTGAAAGCCGCCACCACTCCAAGAACAAAATAGAAGAGTCTGCCAGTCATCCCGAATGAATGACAAGCTCTTTAACCGCAGAAGTACAACTTGAAGATGGAAACAAACGCCGACTATTCATATACGAAGACGCACGTACGTAAGTATATTCGTATGTGTGTAGGACAAAAATAGACGCACTGGAAAAAAAACACTTCGGATCTAGAGTCCAGACTCTTAAAAACATCGACAAGAAAAAATTCTTGATTCAATCGGATTTAAGCTTAAATCAAGAACCAAGCCTCTTAATTTGAGCGGATTTCCTTCTGATTTAAGCAAAAATACGATTGAATTAAGAGTATTTTTTTTTTATCAATGTTTTCATAAGTCTGGACTCTAGATCCAAGGTGTTTTTTTTCCAGTGCGGGCATGGACCAAGAGAATAAATAAGGACCCCCAACTCCGGTTAGCGCTGACATCAGCGCTCCCTGGCAGAGGGTGTAGTGAACTAAACCGATGATTGGGTCTTCCTGTTTATATTTCCATGCACCACCTATTTAGGCTTATCACTCAGTAGTGCTCATAGAAGTTTCTAGATCCTCGTATCCTCGTGGTCGCCCTGCAGTTTTGAAGAGTTTAGTG